CTAATATGATTCCGCCTTTTTTGATCGGTTTGATGTCCACCATATGTTATTGAATTGCCATGGTGATCTGGGACGAGGCTCACGTCCAAAGTCGCTGGTCCTTCGAGCAAGGAGAATGAAAGAAATACGAAAGGGATCAGTTTCAAGAAGTGACAGTTTCATCAGATTCCCCAACTAACCATACTCAAGCAAAGTCAGAATATACAAGCTATATTGCGACTGTATGGTTACTTGGGTACTCATATGGCCGTCAGAATGGTTCATCGGTTGCGAAGTGAAGTATTTCTGAAAGTGATGCGTAATATTTCTCAATGTTTTGACTTTATCCTAACGTTACCTCAATGTTATATCACAGACAAGCAGACACAACACATTGAACATTTATTATTGTAAACCCTACCGCCATCTGTCGTATACACTATGATGGGCAATACACTCAACAGATGGTTGTAGCATAGAGGTAACTCTAAGACCAGAAGGTCCCAAAGAAACGAGCTCAACTTTTTGGCTCAGCTCTGGTACTATCTTCGGTCCCAAGCTAATCGATTCACCCCTCGAAACATAGGAAACTCCACTAACCCCTCATTTTATCTGTCAAACTTTCATAGCGAATCAAAACAAATATAGTGTAGTACTGGAATTTATACTAGAATGGGGTACGTTCGAGGATTTGCTTGGGATCAAGTAGTGAGCCAATTTAAAATCGTTAGTTTCGTATTGATTGTTGGTTGTAGTGTGTAAACGTCAAACGCTAGGGAATTGATTATGTGCACCACAAGTGGCAGTTCTACCAACAATCAATACGAAACTATCGATTTTAAATTGGTTCACTACTTGACTAGCCTATGGTTCCCAAACTTCTAGTACTACACAATGTTTGTTTTGATTTGCCATGAAAGACTGACAGATAAAATGAGGGGTTCGTGGATTTTCCTATGTTTCGAGGGGTACATCGATTAGCTTGGGACCGAAGAGAGTACCAGAGCTGAGCCAAAGATTTGAGCACGTTATTTCGGGACCTTCTAGTCTTAGAGTTACCTCTATGGTACCAGAGCTCACGTATCTTCGGGACCTTTTGGTCTTAGAGTTACCTCTATGGTTCTACCAACTAAGAAACATTTAAATTGACCGTTAAAAACGATTTTGATGAACGTTTTAAGAGTGTTATGTCTGCTTGTCTGTGAACATACCTTCACTATCGCAACTACGGGTAATCTGCGAAAGTAATTGCAATTTCTCAGGCACTTTTGATCTAACTGCAATTACTCTCTCATACTTGAAATGTGCCACGACCAAATTAGCACAGCGACGCCCTATACGCTCTCTGACCGAAGCGCAGGGAAGTGTTTTCGATTGAAAGTGTACCAAAAGTGCTCTTGAACGTGTTTCGCAGTTGAGTGTGGTGGAATTCGTGAACTCCCGGTTAATTTTCAGGGGAAATTCCGTATCACAAAATTGCCCACCGATTCCCTTTTTTTTGCCGTTCGACGACGACGGGTGTGCTTTCGCGAGAGTGACGTTTCTTTTCAAAGTGACAGCTAAATCTATTGTCTAACTGACAAATTTACGTCAACGCGACGCAAACGGATCTAATGTGTTCACCGTGTTCGGATGTCATGTTTTCATCGTGTAGCTCTATCGAGAGTCTTCAGAGACGATAGTTTTTGTTTAACTGCAAAAGGATATAAATCGTCCTCTAAGTTATGGGAGTTCTTTGAAATCGCCGTGAAGTCATGGATTTCTTTGCAACATATCGGGTGAGATCTTTTCTTTATTGTTCTCTTAACATTCATTATTATATGACACATTATATGCTGGGTATGGGACGGTTCAACCAGGACACCTGATTGAAGCGATTTGGATGGAGAGAGTGGAATTCTGGAGAACTTCGAGATTAGGGCATAATTGCGTTTATTATGATGTTTATTAAAACATCACATAATTTGCCGATTTCTCGCGAATTAAAGCTCAATCTTTAAAAATTAACAACACAAACAGGTAGAGCAATGGTTCCTATATCATTTGGTATAGTTTGTTTGCGAGATTGTTCTGTAATTCGCGAGAAATCGTTGATTAAACTGTTTGTTTACAAAAACAATTACGCCCAAATCTCAAAGTTCTCCGGAATTGCCAACTTCATGTGGTTAACAGATCGTGAATTGAATGCGGGTTCTTCTTCCCCACTCATTGGGACATCCCATCGTGCGATGGCTTGTAAAGGGTGATACGGTCAAAATTTGGTCAAGGGAAAACGCGTGTAAATCGGTGAAATCGTTTATTTAAAAAATCAAATTAAATTTCTTTTTCAAGTTCAATTAGTATAAAATTCAGGAAAAATATTCAGTTAGGCTTCCGCTTTTCCAAATCCGAATTGCCGGGCCTTACGCTTGACCCCTGCCATCAGATTTTGTACAGCCACCTAGTCCACCTTCTTCGCCGCAGAAAGCCAGTTTGCCTTGAACTGCTGCTCGCCCTTAGCAGTTTTTTGGTCTTCTTTAGGTTCCGCTTGACAATAGCCCAGTATTTCTCAATTGGGCGGAGCTCTGGCGTGTTGGGAGGGTTCTTGTCCTTGGGAACCACCTGCACGTTGTTGGCGGCGTACCACTCCTTGGCCTTTTTACCGTAATGGCAAGATGCCAAATCCGGCCAAAACAGTACGGAACAACCGTGTTTCTTCAGGAAAGGCAGCAGACGTTTATTCAAACACTCTTTCACGTAAATTTCTTGGTTGACAGTCCCGGAAGCTATGAAAATGCTGCTTTTCAAGCCACAGGTACAGATGGCTTGCCAAACCAGATATTTCTTTGCGAACTTTGACAGTTTCATGTGCTTGAAAACATCTGCTACCTTTCCCCTTCCTTTTGCCGTATAAAACTCCTGTCCCGGAAGCTGCTTGTAGTCGGCTTTGACGTAGGTTTCGTCGTCCATTACCACGCAGTCAAACTTCGTCAGCATCGTCGTGTACAGCCTCCGGGATCGCGCTTTGGCCGTCGTATTTTGTTTATCATCGCGATTTGGAGTCACTACTGTAGTAGGTATAAGTCTCATGTTAAATAAATAACTTAACAATATCAAAACATCTAAAATTCTCAGTGTATAACTTTCAGCTACAGTCTTTATTTCACTGGTAGCGAAATGCCGGATGATTGCTTTTCGGTTCCGTCGAAAAAGAGCGTAAAAGAAAAGAAAGATCGGGTGCATGATTGGAAAAGAATTGAGAAGCGGGACTCGTCGTTGCAACCATAGGGTAAACTCAGCGAAATCAAATACGAGAGAGGGAGAGAATTGGTTCGGATTGCTGGTGTACCAAAGATGAAGGATGGCACTTGCCTCTACTTAGCTGGATATCCGATCGTGCCAGAGGCAACGAACGATGCCATTGAGCGGGAGAAAATCGATTCGGCTTTGTCGAGAGAGTACATCAGATACCGATTGCTTACAATGGTTCACCGACTCCGACAGAGAGCGTTTCAGTTATATATATATATATATATATATATATATATATATATATATATATATATATATATATATAAAGAAAGAGAAAGAACTGGTAAACTGAGAGAACATATCGCCGAACGAGCAACGAAGAATGTTCCCTTCGACCAGTCAGAACTTTTGCTACCTCGCTTCTGCTCGCTACCTGCTCCTACGATGTCTCATTTTGAGATGGGACGAAAGCAAACGAGAGAGAGAGACGATTCGGTTTTGAGAGCATCGACTGAGGGTTGATGCTGCGGAGACTGTAGCTCGTCAGACATTCTGTTGGCTAAATTTAACGCAATCGCACGCGTTTTAAATTAGTGGAAAAAATGAATTTTTCGGTACACAGCAATGGCTACGAAGCGTCACGACAATGGCGCAGTGGACGCTCCCGTCCGGTAAGTATTTTAACTGGGTTTTAGGAAGTGCATCATGTGAATTTCAAGGACTTTCTTATCCTAGTGAAGAAGTGTAGAGTAGTGATTTTATTACATTAAGCAAGAAACTTTTCGCAAACAAAATGGCGTTTAGTTGAGGAAAAACACAACCGCGTGGGTCATAATTTTCTTCTATGTAGGAAATTGCAGTGTTAACATCTATTTAATAAAGATCGTAATGAAAGTGAAAGTGAATGGATTCGGAAAAAAAGATTTTAAGAAGTGAAAGGATTGTGAAATTAATTTGTTAAGTACAGTAATGTAATGATTTTTGGCAACACGTTTTCAATGTTTAATTTGCTTATTCTCTGTGCAAAAAAAAAAAAATCATACTTTATAATTTTCATAGGCTTTACGGATTCGTTCGAAGCTTTAGGCGTGATTCTATAATTATTTTTTTTAATTATAAAAACTTGTCGAAGAGAAAGAAGTCAAAATATATGTGTTGCCAAAATCGAAAACATACTGTACTATTAGATTTAGCTTAGGTCGAGTCCGGTGCATTCTCAAGTGTACAGATTATTTTGTACTAGATTTAAAGCAAGAGGACTCCAAAGAAAATAGAGAGAACTCCTAAAAATAGAAACGGAACGATTAGACTCCAGATGAGAAAGTGGAGCAATTGGACTCCTGATGAAAAAAAATGGAGCAAGAGGACTCCTAGAAATGGAAACTGAGCGATTGGACTCTGGATGAGAAATTGGAGCAATTGGACTCCTGATAGGAAAAAAAAACGGAGCAAGAGGACTCCTAGAAATGGAAACGGAGCAATTGGACTCCAGGTGAAAAGTGGGGCATTTGGACTCCTCAAGGGAACACGGAGCAATAGGACTCCTAGTTGAAACTTTGAAAAAAAAAAATCAAAAGTAGTACTCCATACTAAAAGTGAATCAACAGGTTTCGATGTGAATATTGAAATGCTAGTTGAAGGCTGAGGAAATTTAATATTTAAAAGTTATTTGCAAAACTAAATATATCTTTATGTATTTATTTTCAATTGGACAGTTTTGTTAGAATTAAGTTAATCAAAACCTAAAGAAAACAAGTTATAAAATGAACGTATTTCATTTAATTTTGCAGAAAAATGAAGAAGAAAATGGACTCCATCATGAAGAAATTGGCGGACGAGAAATCTGCCAGGATTGAACTAAGCAATCAATTGGACAGGGCAAACGAGACAATAATGACTCTACAGGCGAGCTTGGCAACACCTCGTAGCGGAAGTGTGGACAGTGGTGAATTCTCAGGAAATGCGGGCCCTTCCAGTACTCAGCACCAGGTCAATGAGACTGCAGTTGAAATGTCACGGTTCATGTCTTCGATGAACCAAATGTCCATTACCTCTATCAACGTGCCGGAGTGCAAGTCAGTCGTAGCAGGTGAGCCGGTTGGACGTCGTGATTATGAGTCGTGGATCGATCTTTTGACAGCTTCACTGAAACTGGCGGGTGTAGAGGACGAGCGTACAAGGTTCATCGTCTTCAAGGTTAAGGCAGGACCGGTGCTCTTGGAAATTTTCAAGAATACGAAGTCGACTCCAGAGGCTCCAGATGAAGAAACTTGTCCGTTGTCAAACGCCATGTTCCGATTAAAGACTTATTTTGGATCTGCTTCGGACATTATGCTCCAACGCCGTAAGCTCGCCCTAATCATTCAGCGTCCGGATGAATCAGACTTGTAGTTTATTATGAGAGTTGGTTCTACAGCCCATTTGTGTGACTACCAGGAAGGAAAAGAGTTCGAAGAAATTGTGAGTGCTGTTGCCGCCCATGCAAGGAACAAGGATGTACGGACAGCAGCCCTTAAAATGCTAAGCCGTAAAGGGTCGTTCACGGATCTGGTGGACGTGGTTCGAGAAATCGAAGCGGTTGCTATGAACGAAGAATATTATCGGTTGAAGCATGGTAAGCCTGAACAAGTAACAGTGGCTGCTGTTAGTGCCACATATCCAAGAGCTGGGCCATCAAGACGGGGAAACTACCGTTATCCGATTGCACGTGGAAGATTTGCACATCCATACATCGGCCCCGCCAGAATCGACTCTCATTTGTCATCAGAACGGAAAGGATTTGGAAACACTCAAGAAGCTGAACCGTATCGCTGCTACAGATGCAACGGCATCAATCACAAAGCGGACGCCTGTTTTGCAATCGATAAGATTTGTTTGAAATGTGGATGTAAAGGTCACATCCAAAGAGCATGTCGTCCACCATTCAAGGCGGAAAATCAACGTAGGACAGGAGGCGAAAATCCAGGCATCAACATTGGTAAGATTGCTTCAATCGATGCAGACACGGTTGCTAAGACAGAAGAGAAAGCTGTTGATGAAAATGTATGTGTGGACATTGCTATTTAATGTATCATTGTTTAACGTTTTGATCTACAAGCTTTAAATTAATATGTTTTGTTTAAAATAAGCAGTGAATTTGATTTCTTTTTGAAATAAAGCATAATTAAATGGATAAAAATTCAAATTTTCTTGTATATCAATGTTAATGATGATACATCGATTCCCATTCCATAAATACAATGGATTTATTTCTTTGCAGTTGCATATCGCAATATTCTCAGTACCAAAAACTGCTGATGATGCCTTAATAATGGCGAAAGTTGCAGGATTAGAGTGCGAGTTTCTTATTGACTCGGGGGCCCAGGTCAATACCCTAACTGAGGATCGATTTGGTCTACTGCGTAGTGACTATATATACCGGAAGGAAATGTTCAATATCCAATATAGTACAGATCGACCGCTAAAAGCATATGCAACTGACGGCGAAATACCGGTAAGCTTCACTTTTGAGGCCTTCCTGCATATATCCGACGATCGTCCAACTTTTCTTGAAAAATTCTACGTTGTCAAAGAATGCCGATCTCTGTTAGGAAGGCCGACGGCAACCCGATACAATGTACTATTGCTAGGGTTGCAAGTACCTATAAACTCAGAGAAGTCCTTGGCACACCCTTGGTACGAAGCCGATGAAATTGCTTCGGTGATGGTGGACGAAGTTTTTCCCAAATTCAATATTCCACCAGTACAATTGAGTTACGACCAATCGAGACCACCATGCCGTAATGTCTTCATGAATATTCCAATAGCTGTTAAACCGATTGTTGAGAAACGGTTGCATCAGCTTCTGGCAGCGGGCATCATTGAGCGCGTAACGGACGATATGGACGATGCATTTTGTTCGTCGATTCTAGCCATACCTAAGGGCAAGGACGATATTAGGCTAGTGATCGATCTTAGAGGTCCTAATAGCTACATTGAAAGATCTCCATTTGCCATGCCATGTCTGGAGAAGATTTTGGCAGAACTAGACGGGGCACAGTGGTTCTCGACTATAGATATGTCCAATGCGTTCTTTCACATCGAGCTCCACGAGAATAGTCGCCATCTCACGAATTTCTGTACAGAATTCGGAATGTTTCGGTGCGTCAGGTTACCATTTGGGCTATGTAACGCACCGGACATTTTCCAAGAGGTGCTACAGAGGAAAATCCTTGTAGGCTGTAAAGGCGTGAAGAATTATTTGGACGATATTCTCATTTTCGCAAGAACCCAAGAAGAGCATGACGAAAACCTAGATGCAGTGTTGACCTGCCTACGGGAACACAACGTGAAAATTAATGCTTCCAAGTGCACCTTCAAGAGTCAATCCGTAAAGTTCTTAGGATTCCGGCTCACTTCGGATGGGTGGCAAATCGAGGAAGAGAAAATAAGTGCCATAAGAGACTTCAGGAGACCGGACACGATAGCGGAGGTAAAGATCTTTTTGGGCCTGGTGACATTCGTTGATAAGTTTGTGCCACATCGAGCCAATAAAACTGAAAAATTACGGGCGTTAGCACAAGCAGATACCTTCTACTGGTCAGCTGAAGAAGAACACGAGTTTCGGGCGTTCAAGGACGATGCTCTGAAGATGATTAAAACACTCGGATACTTCAATACTTCGGACAGAACAGAACTATTTGTCGATGCATCGGCTATCGGCCTCGGAGCTGTCTTAGTGCAGTTCAACGACCACAAAATACCAAGAATCATCGCATGTGCCTCAAAAGCTCTAACGGCAGTTGAACAGAGATATCCCCAAACACACCGAGAGGCATTGGCTGTGGTATGGGGAGTGGAACGTTTTGCATACTATTTGTCCAGCAGATCATTCATAATCCGAACTGATGCCGAAGCCAATCAATTTATTTTTGGTGGGAAACATCGGATCGGCAAACGTGCGGTTTCACGAGCAGAAGCGTGGGCGCTACGACTGCAGCCTTTTGATTTTACAATTGAGCGTGTTCCAGGCGAACATAACGTTGCAGATGTTTTATCAAGGTTGATAAAGATGTCTCAAGATGCCGAGCCCTTTGAAGACAGCTCAGAAGACCACGTGTTGTTTACTTTGGATACAGGAAATATGGACATCTCTCTTGGAGAAATCGAAGTGACAGCTGAATTGGACGAAGAGTTGAGTCATCTTCGCAAGGCATTAAAGTACGACAAATGGCCACTAGGGTGTTTCATTTTGAAAAAAGTGATGAATTTTTGATAGGCCACCCTCCAGTTCGATTCATAGCCCCAAAATATGAACCTGTGCAAAAAATGGTAAAGATTGATGAAGGTTTAGAGGTCGCGCCAATGATTTGGATTTTGTATGGAGATTTTGGTGAATTAGTATGGGAAATTATTGATTTTCGTTTACATTGCTCTAACTTTGGTTGTAGTTGTCCAAACGTTGAAAAAAAAAATATGTGGTTGTCATGACAATGATCAACAAGCCTGTTGTTGTTGCGATGAAATTGGCGTTGTTGCCTTGTACATATTCATCTGTCAATTTACCCTATTTTGCCATTTTTTCACATTTTTATAATTCTTGATACGCTGCAAAACTGAGCGTAGCAACTGTAGGCTTTTTGTTTATTGCCATAGCAATAACATACTAAATTTTTTCGACATTTGGACAAGTAGAAGCAAAGTTATAGCGATATAAGCGATTTTTTAAATTCTTTCATAGTAATTCCCATACAAATTTCAAATCATTGGCGCGACCTCTAAACCTTCATCAATCTTTACCAATTTTTGCACAGGTTCATATTTTGGGGCTATGAATCGAACTGGAGGGTGGCCCATCAGAATTTCATCACTTTTTTCAGAATGAAGCACCCTAATGGCCACGTGATTTAAGTAGATACGAAGCGCAGAAGAAGCATCTGCACTACCTTGGCTCATTGGTATGCAAAGACGATAAAATTGTTTTGCCCAGTTCACTGCGAAAAAGGGCCTTGGAATCTGCTCATGGGGGGCATGTGGAAGAAGTCGCCATGAAAAGGATTATGCTTGAGTTCTTTTGGTGGCCACGCATGGCTTCAGAAACAGAACAGTTTGTTAAAGAATGCCAAACCTGTTGCATGCTGTCCAGGAAAAATCGTCCGTTGCCAATTTCATCTCGCGATCTTCCTGACAGGCCTTGGGAGATAATTCAGACGGATTTTCTCTCCATTCCGGGATATGGATCGGGAGATTTTTTAACCGTGGTAGATACTTACTCCCGCTACCTCTCAGTTGTCGAGATGAAACGCAAAACAGCAGAAGCTACAAATGCTGCACTTTGTGATATTTTTAAGCTTTGGGGATGTCCTCGTATTCTACAAAGCGACAACGGCCCTCCATTCAGCAGCTCAACATTTTGTTCGTTTTGGGAAAATAAGGGAGTACACGTTCGAAAATCAATACCCTTAAGCCCCCAATCAAATGGACTCGTAGAACGCCAGAACCAGTCTATAATAAAGGCTGTATCAGCTTCCTCACTTGGTGGGACTAATTGGCGTATGAGCCTGGACACGTTCGTACACAATCATAACACACTAATTCCACATGCACGGCTCATGGTTACGCCATTTGAATTAATGGTTGGCTACAAATATCGTGGAACTTTTCCCAGTCTGTGGACAGATTCTCGTTCAAAGGAGTTAGACAGGGAGAATGTAAGAGAGGTGGATGCAGAAGCAAAATTGTACAGCAAACATTATGCAGACGAGGTACGAGGTGCGAAAGAATGTAATATCAAGGTTGGTGACATTGTGTTAATGAGCCAGCAAAGAAAATGCAAAAGCGATCCAATGTTTTCTTCGGAACGCTTCACTGTAGTGGCTAGAACCGGAGCAAAGGTTGTAATTATGAGTAACAATGGGGTACAGTACGCTAGAAATGTGCAGGATGTGAAACTGGCCCCACCTGCAAAGGAGGTAAACGTTAAAAGTAACATCATAGATCAAGACGACATTCATCAACACACAGATTGCAGCGGAATGGTAACAATTTCAGAAGAAGACTCGGCGAATTTCCAGGTAGGTTCACCACAATGCAGTAAGCATATTCCGAACAAAGTTACGCTTCGTCAACGTTCTAACATGAAAAGACCAGCCCGATTCATTGATAATTACATCTACCACATTTATCAGTAGTTAATATCTTCAATGATGAACTGTTGTACACAAATGATCATTCAGTAAATAAATAAATTTGAAAAAATGTATTTACAGTAATTAAAAATAAAAACAAAGAGTAGAGGTACGGGATATTGTAGTAGGTATAAGTCTCATGTTAAATAAATAACTTAACAATATCAAAACATCTAAAATTCTCAGTGTATAACTTTCAGCTACAGTCTTTATTTCACTGGTAGCGAAATGCCGGATGATTGCTTTTCGGTTCCGTCGAAAAAGAGCGTAAAAGAAAAGAAAGATCGGGTGCATGATTGGAAAAGAATTGAGAAGCGGGACTCGTCGTTGCAACCATAGGGTAAACTCAGCGAAATCAAATACGAGAGAGGGAGAGAATTGGTTCGGATTGCTGGTGTACCAAAGATGAAGGATGGCACTTGCCTCTACTCAGCTGGATATCCGATCGTGTCAGAGGCAACGAACGATGCCATTGAGCGGGAGAAAATCGATTCGGCTTTGTCGAGAGAGTACATCAGATACCGATTGCTTACAATGGTTCACCGACTCCGACAGAGAGCGTTTCAGTTATATATATATATATATATATATATATATATATATATATATAAAGAAAGAGAAAGAACTGGTAAACTGAGAGAACATATCGCCGAACGAGCAACGAAGAATGTTCCCTTCGACCAGTCAGAACTTTTGCTACCTCGCTTCTGCTCGCTACCTGCTCTTACGATGTCTCATTTTGAGATGGGACGAAAGCAAACGAGAGAGAGAGACGATTCGGTTTTGAGAGCATCGACTGAGGGTTGATGCTGCGGAGACTGTAGCTCGTCAGACATTCTGTTGGCTAAATTTAACGCAATCGCACGCGTTTTAAATTAGTGGAAAAAAAGGATTTTTTCGGTACACAGCAATGGCTACGAAGCGTCACGACAACTACCTTCTTGTAAATCGATAGTCCGGCTCGTTTTTTGGCTCGATGCACGGTTGTAGACGATACACCCAGCTTATTTGCGGCATCTCGGAGAGAGAGGTTAGGGTTTCGCTTGAAACTACCGGCAACTCTCTTTGTCGTCTCAGCGGCTTCCGGTTTTTGATTTCCCCCCGATCCAGACTTCCTGGCTGTCGACAAACGTTCCCCAAACACTTTAATTACATTTGTAACGGTTGATTTGGCAACTTTTAGCGATTTTGCCAACTTTGCGTGCGAGTAGCTCGGATTTTCGCGATGCGCGAGCAAAATTTTGATACGCTGCTCTTCTTGCTTGGACGGCATTTTGACAACTGAAGAGTGAATTCCAAAATCAAAATAGGAGCAACATTCTACACACACACACACACCTTCAAAATGAGGGGTGTTCAGGTTTTTTAAATGCAAAATTGAAAGAAATATGTCAAGTTGATATTGACCAAATTTTGACCGTATCACCCTTTACATTACCGGATTTTAGGATTTTATTGTTGGAAGGAGATTCTCTTTGATCCCGCGGACTAAGCGTAAGTGTCTCTGCTTACAGGTTCGCCCTCCGTTTTTGGCCCTTCATACAATGGTAAATTGAATACAATCAGGTGTTGTACTTGATCAAGTCGTATGAGGTGGACAGTCCATTGTCTTATGGTTGTGCCTGAAACAATGAGTGTTTCCTTTACATACAAATATGAACTAATCAGAAACCGCCAAAAGTTGACCCTTTCAGCTTTGTCGAAGACTGAAAATCTGTGTGAAGCATAGACTAGAGGTTTTGGCTACTGACTATAGGGTAAACGCACCTACATTGGTCTACCCTAGTCTATCTGAGGCAGCTGATCGAGTACCGTGGACCCCCGTTAATATGAACGAGACTGCGTGCATATTAACGGGGTTCATTTTTTATTTGAACTTCTAGTAAACCTACGACCATTATAAAAAAGAGTTTCTGGTAGCCTTATTTGCTTTTTTGTTTTGATTCTGCGTTTCGTTTCGCAACGTTCCATTTTGCTTTTCTCTGTTCCATGACGTTTGAGCAAATTTTAGTTTGCACGACGTACAGATTAGCGAGGTTCCGTTCAAACTTAAAGTGTACAGACTAAGAACCGTCAGGTATCTGAGGAATCGCTCATAAGGGTTCGTCCATTAATTATGTCACACTTTTAGGGGGGAGAGGAAGTTTTGGAAACTGTGATGAGCAGGCATGGAAAATCATTTGCATTCATTTCGTGCATTCATTTACATTCATTTGCCTCTAACTTTTTTCTTCAACAGCATTCCGCATAATGATGTATAGAGCTTTTATAGGTTTTGTTATTAACTACTACTTTTGTTAGCAAGTCAAATCCGTATCTCTTATGCATGACGAACCAGAGCGAACAGAAGCCACTACTGTTTTTCAGTGAATGTATTTTACATTCACTGAAAAACAGTAACAAGTTCTGCCCGCTCTAGTTCGTGATGCATACGAGATACAGATTTGAGTTATGAGCAAAAGTTGTAGTTAATAACAAAACCTATAAAAGATCTATACATCATTTTGCGGAATGCTGTTGATGAAAAAAGTTAGAGGCAAATGAATGTAAATGAATGTATGAAATGAATGCAAATGATTTTCCATGCCTGGTGATGAGCCATACAAAAAAAAATTAAGGTCCATACAACAAATTTGACAAAGGGGGGAGGGGTAATGGACCTTCCCTAAGCAGTCATCAATCCTGAAATAAACAAATGCCTTTATTTCGAGCTAAAAACTATGATCCTTGAAATGCAAAGTGCGCAAAAATATAACCTTCCACTCTAAAATGCCTGCTTAACAAATAAATCCGCTTTGTTGGTAAGCTATTACAGCGTTAACAAACAAGATCTGTTTGTGAATCATCCGGATTTAGCTTGAAATGCGTGCATGCATCGTCTTAATATCAACTCCTGAAAAAAGACAAGAAAAACAAACCAAGCACGTATGGTTCCTAAAAGCTTCACAATGTCACCGCGAATCACCGCAAACATTCCAACCCTCCATAGGGTAAACGCACCAATAGTGGAGGTAAATTAGAGCATTTTTTTCCTATAGTCGCTTATGAAGTCTCCATAAACCACTATTGGAACACATTGCACTAACGTACCTCCACTATTGGTGCGTTTACCCTTTAATCCATATTCGACGTTTGCATTCAAAGAACAACTCCATTCACCTGCCGGGCTTTCACCCAGGCTTATGACGTGTGAACTACAGTATCTTGTTTGTAAACACCGAAACATTGTAAAATGATGCAGAGGGAGGGGCAGAGAACGGACGATTGCAGATGACCGAGCCAAGCTAGTCTGTATTTACCTGCGGCTACAATAAAATTAGTCATGGGCAATTTGAGGGCTTCCTCCCGCCTTGGTGTGATGTGGTGTGACGCGTGTGAATGTACACGTTTGTTATCATTTTATCAGTTGTTGGCGATTAATTATTATTGACTGTGGCATTAACATACGATTAGCTTTGTCGATCCATCAATTGGATAGCATCGAAGCTGCATTCGGTGATTTAAATGGTCAATAACGCGTTTGAACGCTCTTGCCACACCTTCAACCGCAGATTTACCTTTAAAGCATGCGTCGATATGATTTCCCAAGCTAGGCTGATTTGCGTATCTCGATCAATTAGTACCGGTCTCTGTCTTTCCTCTAATCCACAGTTCGCCTCGGTTGGTATTTTCCATTGGAGATCGCATTGAATGTGAAAATCGTTACGGTTAGGGCAGTTGTATTTGAATTCACTATTTCTCTCTGTGCTGCTGATCTGTATACTGTCGCGCTCGGGTGACATCTATTCCCTTTGTTGATCTATTTGAGATCTAGAGGTTAGTCGCGTGGTGGCGGCGCGATCAGAACCATTTGAAGTTGCGCGACGATCGGTCGATATCCCAATCAAGCTGTTGCAAGCCTAGGTGGCCAAGTGGTTCAAAAATACTAAAAAACAAAACGCATTATTCGACTAATAATATCCGCATTCATGGATGGCAAAGTGGTTCTTCTGGCACTGGTGATAGTGCAGTGCCTGCCAACAACGATCCGGGCCTTCGGGATAGTGGATTATAACAGTTAGTAGTTATAACTAATCAGTTTACGTTCAGAGTTCAAATCAGTTCTTCATGGTGATTCTCTATTTTTGTGTTCTTTTGTGTTCGAATTTCCAGTGACCGAATATTGGCAAATGCCGGCGCTGTTCCAGTACGAAAACTTCGAAAGTTGTCTAAGGTCGAAACCGGACGGAGTGTTCTGCATAGTGAAGAGCGTTGTGAAGTCTGACGATCGATCGGAGATTTGGAGGGCTGTTAAAGTATGTTGCCGCGAGGGAAGATCAATCAGTGCTTGCTTAAGTTTACATGGTTTGGTGTTTTGTTGCAGAAATATTCAAAATATCCCTACCAGTATCACCACGAGGTGCTAACGCGGGGAATATGCCTGAAGCAGTGTGAAGAACTGGTGAACGAATTCGGTGAACAGCAGCGGGCGCGATTGCTGCAGTCGAAGTTCAGCGTTGATTTCCGGGTAAGAACTTGTGTGTTTGTGACTAAAATTTAAATTAGAAGCGTTAGGTTCCTATAGTTGCTTATGGAGACACCACTTCTAACGTACCGCAACTATAGGAGCGTTTACCTTAAGTCGTACTTGATCTCGCAATTCAGGATTCATATTTCATCAGTCCTTATGCGACAAAAGTTATGTATCCGAATTGCATTATTTAGCTTTCGAAAGTTGTCTCTGACATAGGGAAACAGGAGGGGGGCAAATGTGAAATTAAGTTCTTTTACTCCAGAGACGTTGATAGCGACGCGCAAAGAATTTTTTTATCAAAACAACAGCACGGTTTTTGAGGGACCTTTTGGCAATGTCACTGGCAACCATGTTTCTTCTAGTGGCTTCAAATGACTTTCATACAGTGCCGCAATGCCGTTGAGAATATTTTAACGTTCGACCGGAACTGAATAAAAATGAAGAGCGCGGCAACATTTTGTAAAAAAATAAAGCAAAGACGAGAAGGGACAGTCGCTCTATGACAGTGTTACTTTAGTCCTATTTTACTGTTTTGCTTGCAGCGTAATCATTTTTATTACCATAAAACTAAATATATACACACATACACATTTTTAACTTATTGAAGTCGGTAATGATTTCTAAATGTGTATTGCCAATTCACAGAAATCTTAGCAAGCATTGAAATTGTACAAAGAAGAGAAGAAACATCCGCTGTAAAATATTCCAAAAATGTATAGACACAACCACAATTCCGTAATAGAAATGTAGACTACAAGAGGGGTGCCACCATGGAATGAAGTAGTATAGAGGTCCTTATGTTGGTCGGAGGATCATGTACGTTCCTCAGTTCATGATTCAGTTTTCAGTAGCTTTTCAATTAAAATAGCTTCAGTTTTCTACACTTTATCTTGCGAACTTCCATCTTACTTGTTATTGTTTTGTAATGTTTTATGCGTTGCCATGAAAACAAGGTCTTCAAGGAAAGATTTGGTTCAGTGCTCAAAATTCCCAAAGCATCCCATCTGTCAGTGGCAGTTGTCAATTTCGGTTGTCAAAAATGACGCCAAATGCTAATTTTTCTCTGAATTGGCAATAAATAACAGATATCAAATATTTCGTGTAAAAAAAAAATAAACACTTTTTTCATCACTGAGAACAATACTCCTTTCTGGTGAATTGAGCGAACAGTAATGCATATTTGCTTTGCTCGTTTGGTTCAGCGTTTGACGGTTCGTTTGGTTCTTCTTGCTACAGTCTATGCGTGTCAACCAGTGCTGATAAAAATCATTCCTTCTACACTCAACTTAGCTGAAAATGAAAACATCCAACTACCTGGATGAATTTGAATTTTGACATAAACACATTCTCTTGATCAAGCCAACCTCTGAGTATTGAAGTCAACATTTGTTTTTGTTCATTCGTGCCTGGATGTTTATTATCACCTGTGTTGTTGTCAATATCAATATCAATATCAGCTCTGGTACTATCTTCGGTCCCAAGCTAATCGATGCACCCCTCGAAACATAGGAAAATCCACGAGCCCCTCATTTTATCTGTCAAACTTTCATAGCGAATCAAAACAAACATAGTGTAGTAGTGGAATTTATACTAGAATGGGGTACGTTAATCGATTTTCTTGGGATCAATAGGCTAGTACCCAGACAACCAGAAGTCGTATAACAATGTACAGACAGTATCGTAAATTGCTACAGTTTAAGTCAAAATCGCATATAAGAATGGCATACCTCGCATTATGTTTAAGTTAAATCGTATAGAATGCAAATTTCCGACCTATATGCGATGACTCATTTTTAGTCGTACTGTATCACAAATTAAATCGGATTACATCGTAAGACTTTTCAAAATGAATTTGTTATTACATATTAAATCGTTTATGATGTTAAATCAATTCGTTTAAAATTGAATTTAAATATGCACGTATATGGCCTCCACTTTTGTACGTATAAGCCTTTTATTTGCATTCTATACGAATTGTTTGTTTGTATATATGTTTGTATATCACGAAAACAATTATGAATATACGTGCATTCTGGTTGTCTGGGTCAAGTAGTGAGCCAATTTAAAGTCGTTAGTTTCGTATTGATTGTTGATAATATCGAGGTTTTAGGCTCTGAAGTAGTCAATATTAAAATAATAATTTTGCGTAAAATGAATTTGATTATTTTGACAGATTTTGACAATTTTGGGTTGGATAATCAAGCAGTGATCAATATCAACAAACGCGTATTCGTTGATGTATAATGAACTTATTTGTTCACTTCGCTCGTACTTCAAAGCGAAGATACTCAAAACGAAGAGTAATTCATCTACACTGGGTTGAAGCGATACTCCTTGCTTGTGATGGTAAATGTTAAAAACAGACACTGGTGTCAACGTCTCTGTTTTACTCTTGCTCATGTGTACTTGATGTGGGATGTAGGGAAAATTATTTTCTTTCAAGTCATAAAGATTTTGGAATGCCAATATTTTGTATTTGGTTTACTGTAAGATACGCACCGTGGGATGATTTTCAGCAAAGTTTCAAATATTCAATTCGTATAAAATCACTGAATGTGACTCTCAGAAAGAGAAATTTACAGGTTTTGTGTGTCAAACACATCCCGAGTAGACGTGAATCAGGTTTGGTTACATGATACTTTTTAATGGCTACGTCACTAATTTCAAGTTAGTCACTAAAAAGTTACTTTTTACACCAAAGATTCACTAAAGTCCCTATTTCTTAAATTGTTGTCACTAAAGTCACTTTTTACGACCAATGTTTGAGGCCTGCCTTAGCTCAGTCGGTAAAGACATTCCGGTGAGACATTCCTACAAAGCAAGACCATGTTGGAAGTGACTGGGTTCGATTCCCGGTCCGGTCTAGCAATTTTTCAGGTTGGAAAATTTCTCGACTTCCCTGGGCATAGAAGTATGATTGGACTTGCCACACAATTATACCAATGCAAAAATGGTACAGGCATCGAAAACTCTCAATTAATAACTGTGGAAGTGCATCCAGAACACTATGTTGAGAGCTCGCAATAAGCTAATATGCGATAAGCAATACGCTTGAAATGCGGGAAAGAATAATAAGAAGAAGAAGAAAAAGAAGAAGTGGAGAGTATAGAATCTGCTTTTAAAAAATCACATCAAAACCATTGATAACTAAGTATACTTTTTTCTCTAACTATGTAACGACTTAATTTTTCTTAATTTTCCTTAGTCGGAAATAGAGAATCATAAAAAGTCCATAGCATCAAGTTCTTCGGAGTGGGCCGGCGTGACTTCTTTCTCACCCCTTTTTTTGTTGGGGAGGGGAGTTAAACTACTGCGTCCAATATTTGAACTTTTGAGGTACCCCTGTTTGCTGTTTGTATCATGCAAACCGACCACTATTTAACGAGTGGACGGCTAATTGCCTGGACACATCTTTTTCCAGTCCGGTATAATATGGTTTATAAAACCAACTACTTTTCCAGGATTTTCAGACCAAATTTCTCTAGGTTGTAAACTAAGACTTCCAAGAAATTTAAATCTACGATTGTGTAATGCACCACAACGGCAGAGCAGATGTTTCGAGGTTTCACGTTCCAAATTACAGAAACGACAGATATCACTCTGAACCCGACCAATGTTCTTTATGTGATATCTACTAGGACAGTGTCCAGTTACTAGGCCAGTGTATATACTAAGAGCTCTTTTATTGAGCTCTAAGAGCTTTTTGGTGTTTGTTATATTAGGAATTATGAATCTTTTCAACTGGTTGCAGTTTGTGACAGTCTTCCAATTGGCCATCACCCTTTGCTCTTCCCAGCATTTGAGTTCCATTTTTACCGTACAGTATGATATTCCACAGTATGGTTCTGGTGTGCCAAAGTGTCCTGGTACCCAATATAAGTTTACTGAGTTCCGTTGGCACAGTTGCCGAAGCGAGAGAATACATTCGTAGACGATCTTTGACGTACATTTGTAAGCACTCAGGGCTTTCAGCGCTGTTTAACTATCAGAAAAAATAAAAACATTTGTCCCGGAGCCAAAGATTCCTGCACCTGTTCGTATTCCAATTTTTGTGTCACCTGTGAAAAATATGATTGAGCTTTGACGAACGTTAGGAACACCAGATTCCCAATACGATCGTGCCGTTTCACATACGTTGAAGGGAATTTCATAGTTGTCCTCATACTCATCACTGGTTCTCTTTGGAAGTATTAAAGGGCGAACACGAAATTATTGCGACACCGAAAATGTCATGCCAATTTTCTTATAATGTTTAGAATCAAACCAAAATTTTAGGGTAGTTTTATACATATATTTACTTCAAAAATCAAAAGAAAAGTTAATCGATGGAGCCTTGAGTGTAAAATTGAACGTATTTTCGCTTGATGCCCTCCATCGAAGTCTTTACAGTGTCATCCGGTACCAGTTTCTCAGTTTTTTTTTCCATTTTCTTAACATGTCCTTCTCGTCTTTGACTGTCTTTTTGCTCTTCCGAAGTTCCCGCTTCATTATTGCCCAGTACTGCTCCACCAGGCGCAGCTCCGGACAGTTTGGCGGATTCATGTCCTTTGGAACAAAATGGACAGAATTGGCCTCATACCACTCCAGGACACTTTTAGAATAGTGGCATGATGCCAAATCTGGCCAAAATAGCGGAGCTTCGTCGTGCTGCTGCAAGAACGGCAAAAGGCGCTTCTCGAGGCACTCAGATTTGTAGATCTCGCCATTTACTGTGCCCTTTGTCACGAAAGGCTCACTCCTCAGTCCGCAAGAGCAGATGGCCTGCCAAATGAGATATTTGGAGGCGAACTTCGACATTTTCTTCTTCTTAAATTTGTCGTCCACATCGAACTTGCTCTTGCCGGTGAAAAACTCCAACCCCGGAATTTGCTTAAAATCGGCTTTTATATACGTTTCGTCGTCCATCACACAGCAGCCATATTTTGTCAGCATCTTCTCGTAGAGCTTCCGTGCCCGAGTTTTAGCCGTCGATTGTTGCCGCTCATCGCGGTTTG